GGATGGGCAACTTTGATAGTGACGAGGGCCAGCATTTTTTCTCCTTTATACCAAGGGGCCAGATTACTAATCCACGTCCACACACCTTTTACACCGTCTTACTCAATTTCCTTTTTATTGAAGCAAATGAAAATATAACTAATGTCATTTGTTTTTAAAGATTTTATTAAGCATAAAACGTTGTTGTCAGTGGACGGAAATATTACCCCGACAAGCCAAATTTCAATTGCATTGTCTGTAAATTAAATTTGCAACAAACAAATATACAGAGGTCCTTTTTTTATTTGTAGCCTACAGAACATTCTCAAAACAACCTAAAAGGACAGTTAAAAAGGGCTTAATTAAAAAAAAAAAGTTATTCCAAATGGTACCATAAAATAACCTGGTATCTGCAGGATTTTTAAAATCAAATTTAAGACCTTATCTGCACTTCACATTTCAGCCTTAAACAATTTTTAAGAAAAGGGATGAGTCAAAAGTATCAATTATTATATTAATTTAAACAATTATTATATTAAATAACACATAAATATATCTTACTGTCTTAATTGTTTAGATTTGTATAATGCATTAGCTTTTTGTCGATCCACTGGTTCACATTTAAAAAAATGTAGGAAAAATAGCAGGTGGGCTTTTTGAAAAAGCAAATTCGTTCTCTGCCAGCAGGTGTCCCTTTCGGAACTGCAGAAATATAGTGGTTTCCCTGGTAACCGCAGTACACAAAGCTGACCAGCAGCGCTCAAGTTTATTCAGTGAAATCGTAGACTTTTGAAGTTTAATCATCATATTAATCCATATAGCAATTCTTGTCTTTCCGTCCCCAAATACCTCTTATAATTTAGACTTTTGTACCATTTAAGAGTTTGCATGGCCTTAAATGTAAACAATTGAACTGAAGACGTTTTAAGGACCCGCGGAAACCCTAATAAGAACATAGTCCAGTGCAAACATTTCTGTCATGCATTTGAAATTTGAGGCAAGTGCAACTCTGGCATCCCCGTTGTTTGTGAGCAGTGGTGTGATGGCGATTTAAATAAAATACAGATTTCCAAACAATCCAAACATATGGGTATCCCCTTGAACTTGGTAAAAAGATAATCTGTTTACCATCTTGACTTGAAAATACTGTTTTCATGGTCAGTTTTTCATTTAATATTTGCTATTGTTAATGAATGTTTACATAATGGCGCTTTTCCACTGCATGGTAAGGCACGGTACGGCTCGGGACGGGTCACTTTTGGGGGGGTTTCCACTTGGTATGGTACCTGGTACCTGGTACTTTTTTTAGTACCACCTCGGTTGGGGTTCCTACTACGCTGAAATTAATAGGGGAGTGGCTGGAAAATATAGCGACCTCTCCTGGTTGGAGATAGTATTAAAATCATAAACTGAAAGCAATCTTTACGTGACTTGCTTTTCAAATGTTTTAAAATTGATCATCCAAGTCTAATATGATCCAGCGGGCCGTACTAAAAGACACTGTGGGTCCATCCCTGGTCTAGAACATTCAAAATCATGTATGTTGTCACATGTATTTTATTTTTGTATTTTCATAGATTTTCAAAGTAATAAAATGTACAAACCCAATTCCAAAAAAGTTGGGACACTGTACAAATTGTGAGTAAAAAAGGAATGGAATAATTTACAAATCTCATAAACTTATATTTTATTCACAATAGAATATGGATAACATATCAAATGTTGAAAGTGAGACATTTTGAAATGTCATGCCAAATATTGGCTCATTTTGGATTTCATGAGAGCTACACATTCCAAAAAAGTTGGGACAGGTAGCAATAAGACATAACAGTATAAAAAGAAGTACAAGTTGTAGAGTGCCTGGTAGTTTTCAAGTTTTGCTTTAATCTGCAACCTACTGTAATCAAAACAAATGATGGTGAATAGTATTATGAAGGTTTTTTGTTGCATGGTGCATGTTGCTTATATGGCAAGAGCTGTACAAAAGCTCCAATCTGATTGGCTGGATGCTATACAATTTCCATGAATCAGAGTGCACAGGTTTTTAAAAGTCCACCAGGACTTTTAAGAGTTATGTTTACAAGGAGAACGGCTTCTACTGAAACATTTTTTTTAGGTTCATGGCATCAAATGTCTACAAGATGTTCAATGTTCAATGTTTTGTTTGAGGCAGATAATAGCAAGTATATTCCTTTTTATTTCCTTTTGGACACATGCAAATCTGTCTATTCACACTTTTTCTTAACTGTAATGTTGCATACTGTTGTTTAATGTTATGCTTTCACAGATTTCAGATCTTCCCACAACTATGTACAATACCATTCAAATACCTTTTTTTTTTAAAGAAATGAATACTTTCATTCATCAAGGATGCAATAAATTGATCAAAGAAAACAGTAAAGACATTGTTGCCAAATATTTCTATTTCAATTAAATGCTGTTGTTTCGAATGTACAGTTTCCACAAAAAATATTAAGCAGCACAGCTGTTTTCATCATTACTAATAAGAAATGTTTCTTGCACATTAAATGTTTCTATCATTTAAAATATATTAAAATAGAAAACAATATTTCACATTATTACAGTTTTACTGTGTTTCTAAGCATAAGACCATCTTTCAAAAACATTAAAAATCTTACCAACCCCAAACTTTTGAATGGCAGAGAAAATGTCAAGGGGGAAACTCTGAACTGTGATTGGTCCCTTTATGTCACTCAGACAGCTACTTCCTGTTCAAGTGGGCGGTTCTAACAGAAAAAAAACACGGCCCAAACTTTGATGAGTCAAAAGTCCTACTATGTGAGACTAGCTTGGGAGTTATTTTATTTAATTTTTTCACAAGTTTACATGTTCATATAATTCTTGAGCATATAAAGCAGGTTGGCTTGGTTTTGAGTTTCCGCTCTCGGATCTAATGAATTCTAGAAGATAAAGCTGGGGTGGTGGATGGATCCCATAAGAATGGTCACAAGAGTGAGGTAAGCTACAGTATATCCTTGAATGAGATGAACATGCTCCCTGCGTTTGAGAGTTTATAACAAAAGACATTCCTTCACATGCTATAAGAAATGCTAAATGTTTAAGAGATCTCCATATCTAATGTCTATCTGGATCTTTCTCCAGTTACACTTAATCAAAACTGTCAGGTCACTTGTGCTTATTGTCAGAGCTTTCATTTTGACAGCCATCTCAGACCCAAAGTTCAACTGTCTTGTGCAATAAGACTAGTTTATCCTGGACTTATTA